ACAGAGTATCTCGTTCCCTCTCAACTATTTCTTTCAAAGTACGTATATGTATGTGCATATGGGTGTTCTTGTGTGCAAAACATCTATTGAAAAACCAGTTCTGCCATATAAACAAGATTGTTAGGAAGATCCTTTTTCATATATTATTACCCTAATAATAATTCATCTTTTTTTTTTGTCGGGCCCTACCAAGCCAGGAGTATTCATGCATTCACATTTATGTGCTGAATCATGGATTGAGGTAAGCAGATCACGTGGCAGATTGTTTAAAAGCATGGAACAATAGATTACAGAAATGAAAAGGTCCAGCAAGACACTTGACTCTTTAATAAAAGAATGCAGAGGCTTCAACAAAGTACCTTTACTTCGTCATAGAGTTTTCTTTCCCAAGCATATAGTCTCTCCAGAGTGGAGGAATGACTTCCAGCAATCATGCAAAACTCTTCAACAAAATCACTTCCACTGTCATCAACATCATCTTTTGATGCTGTGGCAAGAGCATTCCTTGACGAAGATGACCTCGAAGATGTTGTCCTCTTCCAGGTAATAACTTTCGTTGCATGTTGAGTAGGTTCTGAAAAAGACATTAAGATCTCATATTATGGTGGGAAAAGACACAGGAGTTTCCAATCATTCTGTAAAAGAGTTATCCTCCATTAAATAAAATGTGAATAGGTTGAAGAGGCTTCATTTGTTTGGCTGCATGATATGCAAATAATACATTTGAACCAACTGATCCAACAAATGCCACACAACAAATCAAAATTAAAGGGATGAACTATGTTTGTCTGCTTCTTTGTGTCCGAGACACAACTCCTCTGCTTCAAATAAAAGAACTTTAACTTATCAAAGGATTACTAGGATTTTACAAAACCAGAAGTGATGAGTGAATGGAAAAGACCTCAAACAAAACCAAAGGATTACTAGGATCCAAACCCTAAAGTATTTAATGGATTGATAATTAGCTTGTGACATATCAATTGTAACAACTTACCTTGAGAAACAAGTGCAGTCTTTCCACGGCAGAAAATGATCTGGAAAGCAGTGACAACAGCCAAAGCTGATGACCTACCTGCAAAACTTGAATAGTCAGAAAGAGTTTATGGAGAAAAAACAAGAATTTTTTTTTTTCAACCAACTAAAATTATCAGTGGCACTAGCACAAAGCCAAGCAAATGCTGGGATTTAATTCAGCAGTTTAAGTAGACAAACAAAACACAACACTCTCCAACCAACATTAACAATTACCTTTTGCCTCTGAATATCCAACCCTGATTTTGTTTGACTCAAGCATCCTGGAGACCTCTCTACCTGATTCTGCAGCTCTGAAAAAGCGATGCTCAATATCCTTTATGCTTGAAAGAAAATCTTTAGCTCTGTGGGTGATAAACTCTGAAGGGTCCTCTCTTTCTGCACATAAATCTTTCTCCCTTCTCTTCGAACCAGACTGCTCAAGTGCAACTTGGCCTGTCAAATTTCTAGCTGCCCCATTGGCATTACGTCCCATGTTTAACTGTCTCGCTTCACCATGACCTGCTTGCAGAGACCCATCAACTCCTCCCGAGTTCATCAAATTGCCATTATGCTCTACACTATCATTTTGAGTCATCGAATGACCAGAACCTTCGGAAGCCCTTTGCTCGATTATCAGCCTTTCACTTCCTTCATGATGTTCATTACTTCCATCTAATCCAACTTTTGCCCATCTCCTTGTCTCCTCCACCACACTATGATTAGTTTCTTCACCCCTCACCTGTCTCCACCCTCTGATATCATCAAAATTCACATCCACTCCACTATTTCCCACAAACCTAAAGCTCTCACTCTCATCAACAGGATCAAAATAATCCCAAGACGAATCTTCCTCAGGCAGAGGAGGTGGTGGTGGTGGCAACGGAATATCGTCATCCATATAACTACTACTAAGCGGATTGAACCTTACAGTCACAGCAGCACCACCTCCTGACCTCATATAACTCAGAGTCGCCACAGGAGGCGAAATGGGTCTCTCACTGTGCATAGGCGAGTCAGAAGCCTCAGCCATAGGCGATGGCGATGGTGAAGGGTAGGAGGAGTGTGATGGGGTCTTGTCTGATGTTGACAGAGACGACTCTATCAACACCTCAGCCTCGGCGTATCGCCGAAGCGCAATGCCAATGTTTCTAAGGGAGTTGATGTAAGATACATGAGAAGCTGCTAAAGCATACCTTGAATCAATTGCTTGCTTGATGAATCTCTTGCGCTCTCTGCAGAGACGAAGAGCTTCGTCCTTCTCGGTTTTAGAGTTTGCACCACCCATTTTAGACGGAAATTTTTGGGACCCAGCTCATGAAATTACGCTCATTTTCTTGGTAACCAAACATAACCTCTGAAAAAGAAAGAAAACCGTTTCATGAAAGCACAAAGAGCCCAAATTGTCAAAAAAATCTGTTAAAGAAAACCCATTTTAAACGTCTCAAAAAGACTGAAAACACTCTTCTCAAAGCAAAAACAAACTACCAAGAAAATGAATTAAAAAGAACAGCTTTGGAAAAATAAGAAAAACCCTTTCTTTAAACCCAAACCTTATATTGCTGATCAGAGGAAAAACAGAGCATTTACCGTTACGGCTCCCAAAAGCATATGAGGGTTTTGCAGCAATCGAAAAACCCACTTGAGGAAGACTTGGTTTTGAAGATGTAGACAAGACCCAGATAGCGAAAATGCGAGGAAATCGTTGAACTTTGTTTCAGAGTAAAACTATGAGGTTCGCATAAAACAGAGCTCAGAGCCAAAAACAGAGACAAGTAATTGTTGACATAGTTGTTTTCATAGCAGGGTGAGCTAGAAAAGCAGCAGAGCCAGAGTGTAAGAGTGGTTGGGGCTCATAAAAGAAAACCCATTAACGAAACCCCAACGGGCTGAAACTGAAAGCAATGAATGCGAAAGAGTTGGCCACAAAAAATAGAACCTGAGCGTCTCAGAGGCTTTTATGGGATACAAAGATTTCGCAGAGATGGCGAGGCTTGATATTGAAATGACGAACGGAGACTGAAAGAGCATAGAGAGAGAGAGAGAGAGAGAGAGAGAGAGGAATCTGGTACAGTATGGTTTAGTCACAGAGGAGGTGAGTGAGAGAGAGCAAAGGTACGGTATGGTTTAGTCACAGAGGAGGTGAGTGAGAGAGAGCAAAGAGCCTCGTAGAGTGTGTCAGATTTCTTGGAAAATAATCTAAAACCCTTTCTTCTTTTTTATGGGAAAAACCCTCTCTTTGTTTTTCCTTTTTCTCCCTTTTTTTTTTTTTCTGTGTGAAATCAATTATAAAATCCTAGCATTCCCTTCTTGTAAATTAGATTAATTTAAAATAATTTAAATTATCGTTTCGTTCTAAAAAAAAACCAAGGAGTTTCTTTCATTTTTTTTTATTTTGGTGTTTCAATATTTGCATTGCAGAAAATACTGCTTTAAACAGGGCACAGTGGCGAATTAATTTAAAATAATTTAAATTATCGTTTCGTTCTAAAAAAAAACCAAAGAGTTTCTTTCATCATTTTTTATTTATCTTTTTTTATTTTGGTGTTTCAACATCAACATTGCATTGCAGAAAATACTGCTTTAAACAGGGCACAGTGGCGGAATTGGTGCGTGTCAGAAAGCAATACAATGCAACATCAATATTATATTGGAAAAGGTGCTCAGATGACAGAATTGCCCTCAGGTTTCACATGAGACCCACCAACGGCTCCTTAAAATCCGCTTACTGGGAAATTACTTGCTCTACTTCTTTCCTTCCTCTCTTTCGACACACAAAAAGAAGATCAAAATCAACCCCAAAAGAAAATAAATCAAACATAATATAAATTATCTTTTATCTTTCTGCTTATTATTTCTTCTTTTGGTGTCGAAATTATGAGTAGCCACTGGTGAATATTCCAGTATATACAAGTACTAAATTTTGTGCAGTATGGGAGATATAAATTTGTTAAGGCAGGCATATTTTTAGTGGGCAAAGAAAGAATCTTGGTGTTGAGGTGGAGAGATCTAGCAATGTATCAGCTGTTAGATAAATTATATTGGGTCTCTAGCAGAAGAGTCAAAATGATAGCTGGAGAGTAGTACTTTAGGATTGCAGTGTGTTCATACCAGAAACAGATCAAAGATAAGATGATGCCTTTATTTTTACTGAATAGTTCGTACGTTTCTGCCAATCATAGTTTGATATGCGTATAGAGATTTTTCTTTTTGTGTTTTTGATGAATTATTTTTGTAAATATGTGAAACGTCCTTTCGTCTTTGGACCCCATGGATATGCTTGTAATAAACACTGGAATATGGATGCCATCCCATTGCCAAAGCATTCTTTCCATCTTTGGGAAAAGAGTTGGTACAATATACAAGTGATTTGGCAATCCACCTTTATTTAGTTCCTTTATTTTTCTTCTGATAGGAAGTAAACTTTTGATTTCACTCCATTGTTGGCTCCTCTATTATTAGCTTTTATTATGCCAATCTGTCTTTGACCTTTATCTTTTTACCTTTTTGTATCTTGTTTTTCTTACACATGTGCCGTGTTTACTTCATAGTTGGCCCATGGCTTAAAACGATTTTTGTGATTGTGATGACACTGCAAAAAGCTTAATGTGTTCAACTTAATGTGTAAGGAAAGATGGCAAAAAATTATACTAAAGACAGACGAGCCGCAAAATTTGGAGACAGCATATCCGGAGTCTAGAGAAGAGAGTAATGAAAATGGTAATCTGCTTGAGTAAAATATAGGAAGAAAAGGGGGATATTTAGAAAGCCCAGCTCCACAACAAGTGAAGGTTAAATTAGTTTGAATTTTTGAAGACACCGGTCTTTAGACTTTAGACTCCATACTTATAGACATGGCAATATTGTACATGACCCGTTAATACGACATAAATTTGTACAAAAGAATCAGTATTTGAGTCGGGACTTAACGAATCGAGTTGAAAACAGATGAAGTCATGTGACTTCGAGAATATCTGTTATCACCCGTTAAGAGTAGGAGTAGTTTTGCACTTTATATCTTTCTATTTTTCTTCGTATTTCTTCTCCTCCTTCTCCCCTCCCTAAACTCTTATCTAATTTATTTTTAATTATTTTTTAAGTTTTTATTATAATTTTGTGAATTTTTTTTTATTCTTAACGATGAAATGGGTTGTATCGTGTCATTCAATATTTTAACGGGTCGTGTTCGTGTTTGTATTTTTCATCCGTTAACTTAACGGATCATATTGTGTTAACTAGATAAGAAAAACGGGTCAACACGAACACGACAAACACGATCCGTATGCTAAGGAAAAAATGTTTTTGTGTTTTTGGCTTGAAAGAAATGTTGAGTCTTTGTAGAACCACAACCACACCCCCCACCCCCCCAACCAAAAAAAGGCCAAGGTTTAATAGATGGGAGAAAAAGTCAACAACAGAAACTTTTGCTTTATATTTTTTGAATTTTACCATTTGGCTAAACTCTCTAGCAGCAATGACAGAAGTATCATTCTTTTACCTTTTTTTTCATGGGGAAACGAAAGTCTCATTCATCATTGTAGAATTTTCTGGATATAGCTCTATGAACAACAACAATGAGACTAAAGTCAATTTTGAAAGAACAAAAATGCTGTCCTAGGATATGATAGCATATATTGGTACAACATTGAAGCAAATTCATGTAACTTCATTTCTATCTCTGTTCAATTATTACTTTCTTGCATGTATAAACGAAATCTGTATGATATCATAGAATGCCTCATGATCAGATAATGAAGGGATGCATGATTGAGCATTGACTGGGGGATAATTTTTGGTCAAGTTTTTTTTTTTTTTTTGGGCTTTTTTCCAGCCTTAGGGAATGTCATAGTCCTGACTCGGGCCTTCAGCAACCAAAAAGGCCCGCAATGATGAAAGTCCAGCTCAAATTCATGGCAACCCAGTAATCTAATAAGAACTTTGAACGTCATGATAAGCTCCTTGCATCCATGAATGAGTGATACTAAAGCCAATACACCAGTGTTGAATTATTTTTCTCTTTTGTTTAGAAGAAGGCAATAGTGTTATTTTTTTCTAGAAGAACAATGACGCATATAACTCAAATTTCAGTGTGTGAAATGGAGAGTACGTCGCATGAACTAGGAGGAAGGACCAAGTCTATATATCATTCATCATCCCCTCTCCAATGTCCAAAGTCCAAACCAAAACGCATCATAAGTTTCTTAGTACAGCAATTTCTTACGCATGCAATATGTGGTTTCAGACTTTCGGTCTTTGAGAATGAAGATGGGGACACAACTTCCTTACGTAGCCACGAATCAAAACCTGCCCTTTCCACACTTTACAAAACAGCTCTAAAACCAGAAGATTTATTGTCGGTAATTAATTGTTTAATCCAGTAAAGTTGGAGTGACAATTTTTATATATCTTGCAATGGATAAGGAGCTTAGCTTGGCAATCAAATTGACACCATGTGTCCCTCATGCATGCAACATTTAAAAAGAAAAAAAGAAAGAAAGAAAAAGAAAAAAAACAATGACATTGCGGCCCTGGAAGCAAATTGCGCCCTCCCCAGGTAATTCCATGAATTATTCTTCAGAATCCTCCAAAATTTTCCCTCAACCTCGTTAATGCCAATCTTGTTCTCAAGCCTTCCCATTTATGTTCATACCCGAAAAAGGAAAATAGGAAACCCTCTTCACATTTATGTTTCACACCGCCTTTGGGTTCTTTTTAGTTGTTTATATAGACAACTTAATCAAAACATCATGGCCATGCATATTGCGTAGTTATATCAATTGGGGTTATTTGGTAGAGCAACACAAATAGGTGGTAGAGTTTCATGGAAAAGTTGATCCTCTAGGCCTCGGAGTGCTAGCAGAAGATGAAGAAGAAGTTGAAGACATTAGCTATGGTGAGCTCAAGAAACGAATGTGGAAAGATCATATGCGGTTACGAAAGTTCAAGGAGGATCGAAAAATCATAGAAGACGAAGAAGAAGAAGAAGAAGCCGAGACCTTAGCAAAGCAAGAGGCGTCTCGTCGGAAGAAAATGGCAAGAGCCCAAGATTCAATACTCAAGTACATGGTGAAAATCATGGAGGTTTGCAAAGGAAAGGGCTTTGTGTATGGGATTGTGCCTGAGAAGGGGAAGCCAGTGACAGGGTCCTCTGATAGCTTGAGAGAGTGGTGGAAGGACAAAGTGATATTTAACCGAAATGCCCCAACTGCCATAGCTGAGTACTTCCCAGCTTTGATTTTTGATCAAGGTGAATTGGACCATGGCTCTTATGCTCATCTTCTTCATGAACTGCAAGACACTACTTTGGGGTCTCTGCTTTCTGCTCTGATGCAGCACTGTGTGCCTGCACAGAGGAGGTTCCCATTAGAGAAGGGCTTGGCTCCTCCATGGTGGCCTACAGGGGAGGAGCTTTGGTGGGGTGACCAGGGGGTTTCTATAGATCATGGTGCTCCTCCTTATAGGAAGCCTCATGATCTTAAAAAGGCTTGGAAAGTGAGTGTCTTGGCTGCTGTGATCAAGCACATGGCTCCTAATTCAGATAGGATGAGAAGGCTTGTGAGGCAGAGCAGATGTTTGCAAGATAAAATGACTGCTAAGGAGACTGCTATTTGGTCAAAAGTGGTCAATCAAGAAGAAGTCCTTCTGCAACTTACTGAGACTTGCCTCAAAATCTCTGACTCAAATGAAAAGGAGGATCAGAAATAAAGCCCTTCTGGCCTTAGTCAAATCAAAGGCAAGAATAATGGGAAGCGGATGTGCAGCTTGCCCAGCAGTGAAAAGAGGAAGAGCAGCATCTTTGATGAAGAGGCGTGGCAAAATGGTCAGGGCTTGGAGAGTTCTGAGTTGGGTTTAGGGTTTGTGGATAAGAAATCAAAGGTAGACCATGAATCTGCATTATGTGCTTATGGTGATGGCCAAGACCAAAGTAATGTTTCTGGTTTATTGGCTGAGGGGAAATTTCCTTTGATTGATGAATTCCCTATTGATACTGGTGTTATGAGTATGGTGGATTGGATTAATATGGAGCTGCAGAAGGCCAATCAGATTGATCAGAACAGCGGTGCATTTGTAATTAATGGTCAAGTTGGGGTTGAGGTTTCTGACACTACAGTGGGAGACTATGGAGCAAGCTACTGGGGAGGTGGTATTGAAGATCTGGCTATAGATGGAGCATTTGATATCCAAAGGGGAAATATGGATTTAAATCTCTGTTCAGAAGAAGAAATCTCACATAATCAAGAATCAACTTCAATTTGGGATTTGGGATATGATTAGTGAAGCAATATATATCAAAACTATTATGTACCAAAGAGGGAGTAGCTATCTAGGTTGCACTAATTTTTCAGATTTTTTGTTGTTGTTCCAATGCATCAATAACACTATTTTTACGAAAAAGATGTAGTCAATAAGATTACTAATTTATAATTACTAACCACATTGTTTACCGCATCACTAACATGCCGATCACATTGTTTAGCAAATCAATTTGGGATTAAATACTTAATGTAACACTTTTTTCATTTTAAAAATTGAACTCTTTATATTTAGGCTTTGATACTAGTTTTAAAGTCAAAACAATTTTTACAAAGACATGAACAAAGGTAAATGTAAAATGAAAGTTAGTGACCTAAACTAAAGTAATTAGTGGAACCCAAGTAAAGAAAGTGAAAAAGAAAGGTCAATTACTAAATTTTCTGAATTTTTTTTTCCCAAGTTAGTATTTAACCTAAATTTTCTAATCAATTAATTAGTTTGATTGACAGGGAAGGATATAAGCTAGGATACCATTAGGGGTGGTTGCGGTTCGGTAACCGCGAATTTTTGCCCAAACCGCAAACCGATCGACTATTTGCGGTATGGTGATTTTTGAAACCGAAAAAAGCGGTCGGTTACCGCAAATTAGCGGTTTAAAACCGCAAATTCTCAAGCATTCACAAAAATATAAATTCACAGCCTAAATAAATAAATACACAACCTCAACTTCTCAAGCATATATAAATTCACAATCTCTTAAACTTCTCAAGCAGTCACAACCTAAAGAAAATTAAAGTTACAATTCCAAGCATTCCAATTAAAGTTAAACTTCTCAAGCATTCCAATTCCAAATCCTTTAAAGTTACAAATCAAAAGGAAAATGCAAAGCAAAATGAATTAAAGTTACAACTAAAAAAAAAAATCCAATTCAAAGTTAATTAAAGTTACAAACTAAAAGAAAAATGCAATGCACCAATGTTACAAACTAAAGTTATAAACTCAAATGTTGGTGGTGAGTGGATTTGAAGAACACCGTTGTGTTATTTGAGCGCCAATGTTATCTACAAATAAAACAACATAGTTTAATACATTTAATTATAAGAAGATCAAATAAAACAACATAGATTGGCTATACTTTGCGGTTTGCGGTAACCGCAAGTTTTGAAAATCAAATACTGCAACCGCAACCGCAAATACGGTTTGGTTCTTCATACTGCAAATGCGGTTCGGTTTACCGAGATCGCGATTTCATTGCGATAAATAGTCGATTGATTTTTACGATTTTTCAGTTTTTCGGTCTAAAATGCCACCCCTAGATACCATGTAGAGCTCAAGAAAATGGCCCAGGCCTGGCACTAGTTTTAGGGCTATGCGTGGCCTGACATGATGTTGTGGGTGAGACTAATCCAACCTATTTAATCTAAAGACAGGGCATGGGGCCATGTGTTTTTGGGCCTAATCCGGGCATATATTGGAAATGTATATGATAAATAAAAAATATTTGTAAGAGTCATGCATTATATTTAGTAAAATTTAGTTCAATTTTTAAAGCTTTTTTTTTAGAAGAGAAAATCCATTAATATTTCAAGAATAGTACAAAAGAACCTGCATGTAGGAACACAGCCTTATTAAAAATATTTTTAGGGAAAATCACATTGGACAAAATCTTGAGGTAGGAAAAAGAATGACACACGTGCATTGGACTACAAAAGAGTCAAAAGAACAAAGACCAAACAAAATAACACATAGCACAATTACAAGCTCAGCAAATAACATCCCAACACAACGTAATACTGTCAAAGAAAAACTTCTATGCTCACATAGTTCTTCGTACAACGCCAAACAAACGTGTCATGAGCTTCAGGAACATAATCAACAGAAGCACCAAACTCCATCTTCCTAAAACCAGACAAAACAAAGTGCAACTACAGGCCCAACAAGGAGCATCCCACTGTCAACGGAAACCGCCTATGCACGCATAGCTCTTTGTACAATGCAGAACAATGTGCCATGAGCGTCAAAGCAAAGCCAACAAAAACACCAAATACCATCTCCTTATTTCTTAATCCAAACTCCTAACTGACAAGTTAGGAGGGATCAAGATTGGCCTCTTAGTATGACAAACTTCCAACATAAGATCATCAGAGTAGCAACGTTTATTGGATGCCAAACCCACAAGCGCTCGAGCGAACACATGAGGGAGACCTGGGAGACCCTTCTAGGCTGGTCTCTATTGCCTTATGAAAAAAAAAATTGACGCCAATTCTACGCTTACCAGAAGAATCCATAAGCACAAGGTGTCTCCCGAAAGATTGCTCAAGATCAACAAGGGCTTTATCACCACTAGGATCCGTGGTCCCCATCACACATAAATTAGACGAAACTATAGAGAAGGGTACATATATGGCACCCCACATCCCGAGCCACCAAAAGTCTTGCCTAACCCCTAGAAAATGAAGGTTAAAACCAGAGAACCGAGATTGCAATAGATCCATATAGCCCAATAAAAAAACCCAAACGCCCACCTTTGCTAGACATCCAGCCTGCAGCAACAACAACTCGCAACACAAAAGAACACACTCCACAAATACCAGAACAACGAAGAAGACCACATAGAGAGCCACCCGCACCTAGAGGAAACCTCACAGAAAACCACTGCACCATGAAGATAGTACCAACAACAAAACCAGATGAAACCAAAGACACCGTGCGACGATGGGCTACACCCTCTCCATGCGACGATGGTCAGGCATGGATCATCACCCCGTATTCCGATAGGCTTGTGACAACAACAGATCGAAGAAGGAAGAAGAAAAACCTAAACCCTAATGTTTTTGCTCGGCTCTCCTCACATGCGAGAGAACGACCCATGAAAGCTTATGGCTGAAAGGATTATATGAAGATTTAAAAGTAATCAAATAAAAAATATTCAACAAATGAGGGGGAGCCACAAACTAGCACTTGGTCTAGCGGTACTTCTCTTTTCAATGTTAATAGGACCAAATAGACTTGCTCATAGGCCCGAAGAATCTTAATCCTATAGTTGGGTTTGTGCCTAGCTTAATTATGAGAGAGTCAGTCCGGCCCATCCAACACTTACGTCCAAAAAATCCCGTCTCTAGATAAAGTTTGGGCTGGCTCAGCCCGACCAATTTTCTTGGTCTACATCTAGATGCACATACACATGCACACAGTTGCTTAGTGCAAATATTTATCTTTTGATCTATACACTTCGATAGAGCCTCATACTTTCATTAATTTTCGCTAGTTCCCTAACTAGTTGTTCATTTGGAGAGGTATACCACACTCACATAAGTGAGATCCACTTATGTGAGAGAGGTGATGATGTACAATGCTTACTCTTTGTTCTATCTTGTTTTCACTAATCATAATTAAAAAAAGAAGAACAAAAAGAGAGTTGAAGAGGGAGGCAAGTAATTAATCCTAAAGTCCCTATACAATATTCTGATGGATATGTTTCTACTAAAACTCATAGAAGCTATGTCTCTGAGGCATGCATTCATCATATTCAAGCCGTGGAGCGGCACACGAATAGCCCTTTCTGAATCTGTTGTTTTTGCTTCTAAGAACATCAACTTCCACTGAGAACACAGCACAAACAGGCCTGTGGTCTGAGAATCTTGACTCCCCTCGAATATAAGATAATTGTTCAAAGCCCTCACCGCGCCATAGTATCCTATCACACCTGTAGTATATATTCATTTGAAAAATCAAATATAACACAATAATAGTTTCAAAATAATTAACCAAACTAAAGGGTACGTAATGTTCTCTTGCTGGACTTATATCGCTAAACCGTGAATCTTGACGATACATTTTATAGATTCCCACTAGTATGACAAGAGAACATTTCTCTCATCAAATTAACGTTTGATTTAATTTGTTGTAGTAAATTTAGAGAGGAGAGGATTGATACCATGCAGGAGTTCGTCGTTTCTTCTTGGACTTGGCAGTTTCTCCAGCATAAGAGTCTGAATTATGAGAATACTTGTAAGTGGGGGCAAAGAAGATTTGCCCCTCTTTGAACCCACTGAATACTCTCCCAGCCTCTCTCTCTATATTCAACTGCATTAGTTAATCAAAATCAACAGATTTAATTGTAATATATAAGAATAATATTTAAAGCTGTATGTTTTTCTTTAGAAACTTGACCAAGATTGTGCGCAAGAATCCATGTAAGTCGTCTAGAAAGGCACACTACAACAAACCTGATCCTTCTCTAGAAGGGTGTCCCAGTCATTATCCTCCAACAAAACCCTTGTTTCCTCATAGCTCAAAGCCATCCGATAATTCAAATCTCCAAGCCATATCATCCGACTGCAACAATTATACATAATCAGAAGATCACAAGTTATTGAACCATGCATGCATGAAAGTCAAAAGGAAAAGAAAAAAGGTGAAATGTAAAAGCAAAGCAGCATCAATTTTTCCTGCTACTATCTTCTTCATATATCGTAAAACGTACGTACTCATGATCAGTTATTCTTTCGCAAGGACGACGATTTGGATTCTTGCAGATCTTGGGGAATTGTGTGCTTTTGAGGATCTCAGTCACATCTGCGTTCCTCTTGAGCTCATCACCTTCCTTCTCCCCGGAAGCCAAGTGACAGCATACGAAGCAAAAGCTTGTTTGGTGCAATGTCATGCTTATTGATATGCATCCCTGCAGATTAAAATCACAATTCAACGATTATCAGGCTATACATATAATATGATCATTAAACATCCTTGTTATTGTATTGTATTAGACTGAAAACTATTTGTATCATATTTTCTGATTAAATACTAGGACTATGATCTGATTTATTTGGATTATTGGTAGAAGGAGCTCAGGTAAGAAAAGAGAATGCAGAGAGCTTGGAGAAGAAGATAAGAAAATTGAGTCTATTCTCTCACTTAGTCACGCACAAGCTGTGCAGAAAAATATATCTATTGGGAATAGAATATTCCCATTTACATCATTCAAATCTAGCCATCAATTTCACTATCCTATGAGATAGCTAAACCTGGCACAATTCATTACTACAACTAAGGGTACATCTTAGCTGTCCATTGGACTATGATCCAATGGTTCACAATTAATTCAATACGAATACTCAGCTAACACACTTATATTTTAGCAATAATATGATCATTAAACATCCTTTTTATCGTATTTTATTAGACTGAAAACTATTTGTATCATATTTTCTGATTAAATACAGTGGAGACTATGTGTAAATAGGCACACCAAAGTTGGAATACTGCAATTTGTATCATGTCAACTGATTATTAGTGGTCAGTTGTCACGGTACAAATAATTTTATCAAAGTTTTTACCAACCTTATTTCCGAGGCAACCCATTATTCCTCTTCCTACAGTGGAGACTCTGAGATGGCCAATGTGATTAACCAACTCTTTTCGAACCCAAACCGATAGGAAAATCCCTACCATCTTCTTGCTTGTTACAAGGCGGTAATTCATGTCGCCAGAGGAAGACGGGGACTGAATCCCAGCAATTGCAAGAAATTCATCTACACAACCATCACTGCCATAAATGCCTCGAGGAGAAGCTGCTGAGTCTGATTCACTGGTAGAATCACTGAGCTTTCTTATTCTCCGCCTTTCTTGGTATGGATACTCCACAGGGCAGTTGCAAGACTTGAGAAGGCTACTGTTTACTTTGAAGCTTTTTCTGAGAGCTTTTAGAGAAGGCTTCTGGAAGATGTTGAGACTGCCTGGGGACTTGGATTCCTTGGTGGTGTTGTTGTTGGAACCCTGGTTTGATGAATCTGAAGAAGAATGCACATTGGAGCATGCGTTTTGGGGTTTATTCAGTGCTTGGTTTATGAGGGCTAGCCATTTCGCTGCTGGTTCATTGTCCTCAATCACTAGAACATTTCCAGCACTTAGAGGAACAATTTCCTGAAACCTTATAATAACAAGAAAAATACAAATGTTAATTAATTAGTCTCATGCTACAAAGGTTAAAATCTCTGGGTTTTTTTAATAAATTTTTTTAAAATTTTTGTGAGGCATTTTCTTACGTACCCTAACACATAGACGTCCGAAGAGCCCTCCACCTGCAAGAAATCTTGGAGGTTGAGGCCATTGTTAGGTGACTTTCCTCCCACATTCCATGTCGCCACAAATATCCTGAACCCAAATTAACCACAATTTTTGTTTTAAAAAAAATTAACTGAAAGCAACAACTAAATTAATTAAACTCTATGTATTTATATACAACCTCCTGTCTTAGTCTCTTAGCTAGAGATGATGATAAGAATTAATTCTTACCGGAATTCTTTAGTCTCAGTTGCTGGCGCCATAGAATGTTCAAAGTTAGATAGGTTTAGGCTTTGAATCCCGGGACTAGCCTGCCTATCTGATAGTAGAGATAAGAAAATAGCATCATCTTTTACAATTTTCATTTTGCTCATCAAATCTCACAAAGTCTACTTAAATCATGATTTTTCTACATGCTAAGGCCTAAGGGTCGAAATCAAGCAAGAAAATCTCCAAGTTTAGCGAAATAGTAACACTCGCTCGTCATCAAAACTATTCACTTATGTGATGTATGACTGAATATCTTATTTGTAAAAAATAAATGAGGTTGCAAGTAAACCTAAACGTAAACAAAGAAAACATTTGTCATATTAGTTGGATCCACAACTTTGAGATTTGTTTTGGTACATGTATGATTTGTCTTTACTTGGAATACAAATATATTACCAATTAATAATCAAAACAGATTGTTGTTAGGTCAGCTACCAAAATGGGACAAGAGGAGATAAGGGAAATTTCCAGTCCATCTGTTTGTCGTAAGTGACCTGTCTCTATCATTTAGATTCAATCTAGGGCTGACCCATCACCCATCAATTAAAAATGATTAACTACACAAAATCACTTTCCAAAACATGATGTTCTAAACTTAATTCATATCTGTAATAAATTATATGCATGCATAACCCAGCATACCTGAAAAATTCTTTCTCATGATAGGAGTTGCCTCCATGAAAGCTTGTCTCCTAGCAGCAATCTTTTTCTCCAAATCTATTAAAAACGAAAATACCTTAATTAAAAACTATTTAAAATATAATAAAAAAGAAGGCATATGTATATATATATATATTTATGTATGAGAGATGGGAGATACCTAGATGATAATCATTGCCATCCCCATCTGATTTGAATATGTCTTCGTCTGAGCCTTCGCGTCCTGTTCTCTTTACACCAAAAAGCCTAGGAATGATAGACTTCATACAAAAACAAAATAAATAAATAAAAGAAAATGAAAACTAGAAAGAAAAAAAAAACAATTAATAAATAAAATACCTTCTTTTTCTTGTCATTCTTGGCAGAGTTATCATGCGTGATGTCGGTGTCGTCTTTGGTCATTTCGACGTTGGCATCTCCACAAGAGGAAGACATTCATTCATTGATATATATTCTTATATATATATGATATATGCATCAATTCATTGTGTCACACACTTTGAGCGAGTGTGTTTTTTGTAATTATTTAATAATTTCTGAAATTAAATTGCTGAATTCTTTTCTGGGTTTTGAGGTTTTCTTGAATAATGTGGCTGTAATTTTCTTTTTTTGGCTTTTGCTGGGTTTGTTTGATGTGATTAATGATTTTCTTCTTCCTTATGTGTTCTGTTTGGAAGGATGAGATTTCGGCGCCAAAGCTTTCGGAGAATTTAGGCCGGTAAAGAGGAGAAACCGTTAGTCTCGGCGACACAACACATTGTCGTTGTCATTTCACCCCAATTCATTTATCTACACTGCTTTCTTTTTTGAATATTACAATATTATATATATTCTATACTTTTTATGTGAACAATTAAAATCAAGTTCTCAGTCATTTTATATATATATAGAATTTCTCCTATGCAGATGTCCGCACGTTACTATTATCTAATAGACACCCCACTTGGTTTCTAACCTATGTTAGATTTGCACTTTAGTATGTATAATTAAAGATAACTTCAAGTAACATACAAGTTGGTTACATGCAAGATTTAAGAAACATCATTCCAATTCGAATTAAAGACGAGTTCTTCCCTCCAAACATCAGTAGATCGATTTACTAATTAGCTATACACGATGGGCATATTTGGTGTATAAAATTGGATTGGAATGGAAAACTCACAAGATTCAAAGTAAATTGAAGTATGCAGAGCTTAAGGATTTTTCACTTGTAGGGATAAGAAGGAATAAATTATAAGGTGTTAATTTCATACCATTTTTGCGGGGATTGAAATAAGTTTGCGTCATGATTAATCCATATTCTACCTTCAACTTAGAGAAATTTTGAAGGTCAGCCTCCGTATCATCCACATAAACGTGAGGTACCAAAGGTGGCCGAGAGGAACCATGGCTCGAAATTAATTAATAATTGAGGTGCACATTACGGTCAATTCCAAACTTCTTAAGACAAATGCATGCACTAATTAAGCTTTAAGCTTTGGCTTCGTCTTATTCATAAGATACGTCTTTTTGTCAACACATCCTGCACTTAATCCACCCACTTTTGTAGACCTAAATGCAGTTAGAATACAAGGTCAATCTGTCCCCTTCAGATTGAAAGAGCTCATCCATATAGTAGCTTTCAAATAATGGATTTTATAGAGATTTGACATGATAGTGTTTATTTATTTTAGATACTGAAAAGACAAGAAACCAATGTACGAAACACAATTAGACATAAATAATGGGTTTTCTTGTCTAACGATTTTGTCTAGTCAAGAACGATCAATGATTCTGTTACAAGTGTGACAACATAACATACATACCTTCTCGAAAACACTCATCCCTAAAACAGAGCCATATATAAGTAGGCCATGCAACATAAGAGTTAAGTTGTAAACTCATAATATTTTTCAATGGTATTCTAGCAATCAATTTGAGACTCAATTGACGCTTCAATTTTTCGGTCGAGAAAGTAGCATCTAAAAAGTACTTCCAAAATTAGTACTTCAACATTACAGCTACATTAAAAGGCAGCTACCATTTTGTTTTTGGTATTAGAACTAGAAAAAAAAGAAAAAGAAGAAAAAGTAGCTCCTTTCTGACTTTTGGAAATCAAACACAAGAGGCAGTTCGAATACATCTGTCTCAATTGTCAACCATCGCCTAACTATCTAACTAAAGTTTCAGAAATAGCAGCAAAATCATGGCCATGCCCTTTGTAATCCTTCCACATGCCCACACTCTAACATACAATACAAGTTTCAACATTGTTAAGTATGATGTGACTTTTCTTGTTTTTCCAATATCTTTTGACGTCAGGAATGTACTGAAACTACAGAAATTCAATGCCTTGTTTTAATTAGTGACTTCTGATATGCAAATTGAAAAACAAAAATTTGTACGGCACAGAGCTGTATTCATATGCTGCAGAATTCCAGGCATATGTCCTTCAATTGTTTCATAAACAGAAAAAGCCCCCAAGTAAAAATAGGTTGTCCCCTGAGAAAACAAGCATCTCGTGAACATTGAACTACACAATCAATCCATATCAGTTGAAGGTTGACATCCAACGTTAAACATAGTTATACTGTGTATAGGACACAACTATACCAAAACACTAAGCACTCAATTTGTTAAGATCAGGTCTTTCAACAAGTAAAAATGTTTCAGTACAGATGTTCCGTCAAGGAGGTTACCTGCTTTTATATAGTTCAATGTGACTTTTTATCCAATTCTTGCCTGTAGAGAGCTAAACTCTGCTTGCAAAAAGTGTAGAAAGCAGTTAATGAAATATCTGGAAAGGGTGACCAGAAAAAGAGAATCACTGGACTAATAGGATTAAGCAACAAAAAAGTAGCTTGCATTGGGTAAGTTAATTTTAGTCCAACAAATCAATATCTGCCAAATTCAGAAAGAGAAAAAAGAAAGAAAAAAAAAAAAAACTTGGAAATTGAGGACTCAACAAATACAGCAACGGCTAGAAAACTGGTGAAACAGAAAATAATATACGTGTACTGTTCATCCTCGAGCTAATGTCATCAGTCTTCGCATGACCAGGAAACTGGTCTGAGCATTTGAAAGTCAAATTAGTGCACTCACATAGTTCTCAAGCCCAAAGGGTGCCACAAGCTGAGCCACACTAATGGGCTTGAATAAATATCTGACCCCACCCTAAGTTCAATGGAGTTAAGCTCACCCAGGCTGATGAGCCAGCTCGGGGCAAGTGCCATGAGCTATTATACGCTGCCACCTCTGGGAGGAGCAGATGGACATAGATAGACTACAGCACTAAGCTTTATCAATTTTTTATGTGGGACTCAGTTTCCAAGCTAGCCTAAGTTCCAGCATTCCCACATTGGTTATGAAACAACTAAGAGCATTACTCCTTAAAAAGGTGGCCTTCTCCAAGAACTTACTCGACTTCTTTCATTCCACGTGATTCTCTAATGGTCTCTCTCAGATGAGACTGTCTTGTTTGCAAAAAGTGTGAATTTTCAATTAAGTTTTAAGATCAAGTTGTCTAAAGAAGTTTGAAATTTTAAATGAGACTAGTGTTCAAGGGCTAACACACAGATTTTGAGTGATTGTATAAGGTAAGGTTACAGACAATTGGCTGCATGTTTGAGGATGTCAACAACTTAGACGAGCAGAGAGTAAATACCTTAGTATAAGCATAAACACCAGGTTCTGTAGGTCCAACTGGACTTCCCCTCCTCATAAACTTTTCCTCCTTATGAATATAAAGCAGTGGTACACCGGTTGATAACTCTAAGCTAATAACCTGTTTGTACTGAGAATTATTTTCCACTGATATAAAGTACCGCATGGCTGGTGAGAAATTTTAAAAGTATGTTCATTACCTCCTGTGAAGTTAATCTCTCAAGATACATGATTATAGACCTTAACGAATTCCCATGGGCAGCAACCAGCACGTTCTTTCCAGATTGTAGTTTTGGTTCAATCTACGATGCAATTTCTACTTGTCAGGTTCTTACACATTAAGAAGAGTCAAGAACATAGTAACACACACTCAGCTTCTAATGGGAATTCCATGTGAATATTAGATAATAGAAGAACTGATCTGCTTACATGTTCTTTAAAGTAGGCTACAGCTCTTTGTGAACACATTTCCAAGCTCTCGCCGCTTGGGGGAGGAATATCATAACTCCGACGCCACTCATGCACTTGCTCCTTTCCATATCTTTCAGCTGTCTCTAGCTTATTAAGACCCTGTAATTCACCATACCTATAGAAGACAATAGCTAGTAATGCTATCTACTCAAATTTTGTTCAATGTAAAACGATGTGCAGGTAAAAGAATAAAGCACATAGAAAAGTACATTCTTTCGTTCAATTGCCAAGCAGTTACAACTGGAATCGATTGCTTCTTAGTATCTCCACTGTAAATTTGACTCCATGTTTTCGCCTGTCTACTCTCGTTATGCGTAATGATTGGTACCTGAAAAGCATAACATACATAACTTCCTTTTATGTAAATTTGATTTCCATAACAGTTTATATCTATTTCTCTAGGAAATAGCAGTCTAATTCATCTAAGTTAGCATACTGTTAAAATTCTTGATATTAAATGGTTAGGTCCAAGTCAGCTTGTTTAACCTCTCTTTCAAGTCTGTCACGTCACACTGTTTACATTATTGGGTAGCAGTTAACATTAAAATCAGAAGTACACCCCACCTGTTCGACCACAAACCTAGTAAGCAAGACTTTGGAACTGCCCCTGGCAAGTATATGTTTTGCAGCTAAAACTATAAAGAGTATAGAAAAAAGAGAGAAGCGACCAGATGGGCCAGAATTACCATTTTCACGAATGAGCATTCAGTGGTTTTTTATTATCTACACCATGTAGGCAACAGAGGATTCTAAAAAGTCCAAAAAAGAAAAGAAAAAAAGAACATTTAGGCAGATATCTCCAATGGCATTGACCAAAAGTCTCAAAGGGTTTGCATATGACTTCATATAAATTGGACACCACATGTAATTAGTGAAATTCAATATTTACAAGATCTTGCTGAAAACCTTTAGCCATACTTTCCATTCTCAAAAACAACTGTTGACTGTGTTCTATGCATAAACACTACCAATGCGATGGAAACATCAATAATTAACGCTATCTCTATAATTAAATTTGAGGAGCAATGACCCTTTTCTTTGAGTTATGTGGCACCGTACGTCTAGGTCCCAAATTCAAATCTTTCCACAAATATGATTTAGTATACATTCATATCTTGATGCTTAACACGCTCCACATGTGTTGAGTAGTGAATCAATTATCTACTCAAACGAGTACTATCTTTGATATTAAAGTTTCAGTATCTCTAAAGTCAAATTTGTACAAATGAAAATCTCAGTATTTGAGCAAAGATACCTTCTTTCGGCGGTGTTGGGTCATGGCAAGCATAGCTGTCATCTGTGCACGAATCAGCGAAGATGTGAAAATCATATCTATAGGGATGTTGCTAATTCTCTTACCGGCTTCTATTGCCTCATCTACACCTCTCTTGGTTAAAGGCACATCAACACAACCGGTGAACAAGTTCTTCTCATTCCACAAAGATTCACCATGACGAATTAGTATTAAAGCACTTTCAGCTACAAAAGGGAGAATATAGAGTCAAAAATTAGCAGAAAATTCCCTGAGTCTCAAAAGGATAATTAGTTTGCTAGAACAAAACAAACACACTTGCTGTCTTGTGAGAATTGTTGGTAATACCTTTCGAGGTAGATAAAATTGGATCAGTTGTTGAAGTCTGAGAAGAAGATGCACGAATTACTTGCAGTTTACACTGTCTAGAACCACATTGTCCTTTTCTAAGCAAACCCACATCAACCGCAAAATTTTTGGAGACAAATCTGAAAGACATCTGCCTACATTTGCTCATAGAACCGGTGTCACCAACAGAACCATGGAGCTGAATTACCCCAACAGGATGGCGGAAAGCATTCGCAACCATTCTGATAATGTCCAAAAAAAAAGAAGAAAAAACCAATCAAAGCAAAAGTTAAATGACCTCGCAAACCATATTGACCAAACATTTTCGTTCTACAGAGCTATCTATTAATGACTAATACCTGGGACGTAATTCCATCATCAACCTTATAATCATCATTCAATTGGGTCATTTTATAAATTTCCACAAAGCTTACTTCACTGAAAACACATAAAGCAGGTTTTTTTTTTTTCCTTTCCTATTCATTGCAATAAAAGCTGGAAAGTTAGAATTAACTACACAAGACACAGCCAACTTACCTGAAAAACAGAGCCAGATCGAAGCAAGGAACAAAATTGAATTCCAACTACATGTTAATGTAAAAGAAAATAAAGGATCATGCTTGAAACATCCAAGCAATTCAAAAATAAAGAACGAGCAAAACTTACATGGATATCAGATGGGTTTGTGGGGGATTTGAGAGTGATCTTGATCTAAAAGCTTTGGAGGGATCAACGCCTTGAGAAGATTGAAGCGAGGAAGGAAGGAAGCGACAAAGACGGACAGAGATGGCGCTTTTTCCAAATTCGCGGGGGAACACAGAACCAAGAAAGAGATGGCGGAGTTCCTCTTCAGTTTTCCCCACGGCAAAAACTTTTCACCAAACCCCGAGCCTAACGACGTCGTATCCTCCTTGTAATTTGATTTTAACATTAAGGTTTTTATCACCGGCCGGTGCCCTGAACTTTTTAAAAGTACTTATCTTAGTCCGCAAACTCTCAAATCAAATTAAGCTTTGTACACATCAATTTTTTTTTATTTTTTTTTAATTTTTAATATTTTATAATTCGAAATTGTACACATCAATTTTAAACAGATATTTTCAACTAAATATGGCTCGTTTTAGTCTTAAAACTCAAATTTTTGCTCAATAAGGTCATATTCTTTCCAATTAGGGTTTCACATTTGGAGTCCATGTAGAGAGAAGATAGCATTGTTGAGCAAATTGTGTGAGCTGCCATAGGTGGATAGGTTGTATTTTGACGAAAATATCCCTTTAAAGTTGGTAAGAGACCAATTTTAATGAAGCTTTTGACGAGATGCGATGAGAGGGACCAAACTGATGTGTGAATCAAAATATTAAAGACCAAATTGATTGATTAGAAAGTTTGAGAACTTAAATGAGAACTTGTGAAAAGTCCAGGTACCATTTGTGAGAAAAATCTTTTATGATATACTAGTTGTGTAGAAACACTTGTGTGAAACGATTTTGCTATCCCCGGTCAATCATGATATGTCATGTGTGATAACTTTTCCATGTTGTAGACTGTGATTGGCTGAAGATAGCAAAACAATGCTATCATTGTTTCACACAAGTTTTTCTACTATTTGTGGGTTGTGCTTTGTAATCTTTGTTATATATGTTTGTGCAAATTTCTCACAGGAGAATATTCGTGAATGAATATTCTTTCTTGTTTGTCCCTCCTTAGATTCCCTGCAAGCTCAAGAAAACAATCAGAAAAACACCGGTGTGGTGGTGGCCAAGGGCCCTCCGATGAGAGTGCGTGCATGCATGTGTGTGTGTAATCTCTAGGGTTTTCCAAAGTTACATTCTTTGTCTTCCAACTTTAGCTTAAATATCTTTTCCTTTCTTGTAACATACCTTTTTCCAATTAAGGAATGAATAATTGAGAATTATTCCTCTCCTAATTAATTGAGTTGAGGGAAGTTATGGAAGGAAATAAATAGATTAAGGGAATTTATGGAATTTATTCCCTCAATCTAAATAGGTAATGTTAAATGACCTCGCAAACCATATTGACCAAACATTTTCGTTCTACAGAGCTATCTATTAATGACTAATACCTGGGACGTAATTCCATCATCAACCTTATAATCATCATTCAATTGGGTCATTTTATAAATTTCCACAAAGCTTACTTCACTGAAAACACATAAAGCAGGTTTTTTTTTTTTCCTTTCCTATTCATTGCAATAAAAGCTGGAAAGTTAGAATTAACTACACAAGACACAGCCAACTTACCTGAAAAACAGAGCCAGATCGAAGCAAGAAACAAAATTGAATTCCAACTACATGTTAATGTAAAAGAAAATAAAGGATCATGCTTGAAACACCCAAGCAATTCAAAAATAAAGAACGAGCAAAACTTACATGGATATCAGATGGGTTTGTGGGGGATTTGAGAGTGATCTTGATCTAAAAGCTTTGGAGGGATCAACGCCTTGTGAAGATTGAAGCGAGGAAGGAAGGAAGCGACAAAGACGGACAGAGATGGCGCTTTTTCCAAATTCGCGGGGGAACACAGAACCAAGAAAGAGATGGCGGAGTTCCTCTTCAGTTTTCCCCACGGCAAAAACTTTTCACCAAACCCCGAGCCTAACGACGTCGTATCCTCCTTGTAATTTGATTTTAACATTAAGGTTTTTATCACCGGCCGGTGCCCTGAACTTTTTAAAAGTACTTATCTTAGTCCGCAAACTCTCAAATCAAATTAAGCTTTGTACACATCAATTTTTTTTTATTTTTTTTTAATTTTTAATATTTTATAATTCGAAATTGTACACATCAATTTTAAACAGATATTTTCAACTAAATATGGCTCGTTTTAGTCTTAAAACTCAAATTTTTGCTCAATAAGGTCATATTCTTTCCAATTAGGGTTTCACATTTGGAGTCCATGTAGAGAGAAGATAGCATTGTTGAGCAAATTGTGTGAGCTGCCATAGGTGGATAGGTTGTATTTTGACGAAAATATCCCTTTAAAGTTGGTAAGAGACCAATTTTAATGAAGCTTTTGACGAGATGCGATGAGAGGGACCAAACTGATGTGTGAATCAAAATATTAAAGACCAAATTGATTGATTAGAAAGTTTGAGAACTTAAATGAGAACTTGTGAAAAGTCCAGGTACCATTTGTGAGAAAAATCTTTTATGATATACTAGTTGTGTAGAAACACTTGTGTGAAACGATTTTGCTATCCCCGGTCAATCATGATATGTCATGTGTGATAACTTTTCCATGTTGTAGACTGTGATTGGCTGAAGATAGCAAAACAATGCTATCATTGTTTCACACAAGTTTTTCTACTATTTGTGGGTTGTGCTTTGTAATCTTTGTTATATATGTTTGTGCAAATTTCTCACAGGAGAATATTCGTGAATGAATATTCTTTCTTGTTTGTCCCTCCTTAGATTCCCTGCAAGCTCAAGAAAACAATCAGAAAAACACCGGTGTGGTGGTGGCCAAGGGCCCTCCGATGAGAGTGCGTGCATGCATGTGTGTGTGTAATCTCTAGGGTTTTCCAAAGTTACATTCTTTGTCTTCCAACTTTAGCTTAAATATCTTTTCCTTTCTTGTAACATACCTTTTTCCAATTAAGGAATGAATAATTGAGAATTATTCCTCTCCTAATTAATTGAGTTGAGGGAAGTTATGGAAGGAAATAAATAGATTAAGGGAATTTATGGAATTTATTCCCTCAATCTAAATAGGTAATCCCCATATTGAATATATTATTAAATTAGAATATTGATTTAAATAATATATTCTTAGGGTTTGCTTCTTTTCCAAGTGGTGCCTCTTGATTGTTCGTTGGATTTATTTACTCCCACAAATGGCCCCCCAGCTTCTGCATGTCTGTCACATCCCGGGATTGGCTCTGCCGTAGCACGATATTGTTCGCGTTAGGGTCCCTTCTCTGTCCTCACGATTTTGTTTCTGAGAGCTCACAAACAACTTCCCAGTGGGTCATCTATCTTGGGATTGCTCTACCCCAAACTCGCTTAACTTCGGAGTTTCCATGACTCCAAAGCCAGTGAGCTCCCAAAGACTTGGTGCTAGATGGAAGTGGGCATGTACATATCAGACACATCACCCCCTCTCCCTTGGTCAATGTGGGATGTTACAATGTCATGCATGAGGCATGTAGGAGATGTGAAATACTCACTAGGCTTTTTAATTCCTAATTGCAGCTGGGCTCCCTCTGAGAGTTGAATTTAATTCCTCCTTGGAGTAGCCGATCAATATGCCTGAGTAGCCAATCAACCAAATTGCTTTGGTCCTCAACTCTCCTAGTTAGCTCGTCAACCTTGTGATTGAGATCTGCTTGGATGTTTAGGCAGGCATGAGAGAATTGTGTGGAGCCAAGTTAATGATAACCTAAGATGTCTCCAGAAGCACGAATAGGTGCAACGTTTAGGGGTTGTGGCGGCAAAGGTGGGTGTGATGACACCTACTCCAAGATCGGTCCAAGCATGGCGGTGGTGGTGGCATGGAAATTGCTAGTCTCGATGTACTGTGGGGACTTGGTGCCGCTGTGGAGTTTGTGGCCGCCGTCTTGCTCCTCATGGTGATACTTTTTACCATGGTTGTTTCAAATGCTTCGAATGGATTTGATAAATGGAAAGGAAACAGATTTCCTTATTGAAATTTGTGTGAGCTTCGCTTTGAGTATATTTTGAGGCTCTCAATGAAAGCACCAAAATGTTTGTGCAAATTTCTCACTGGAGAATATTTGCGTATGAATCTTTTCTCTTGACCGTTCCCTTGCTAGATTCCTACAAGACAAATGGCAGTCAATGGAGAACCATCGGTGTGGTGGTGGCCAAGGGCTTTCCAATGCCTAAATCAGTAAAATGGTCTCGCAAGATGCATATAATATTGAAAGGACGGAAATAATTCTCTATGGGAGAGATGTGTGTCGTGGGAGCCGAGTAAGCAAGAGAGATGGCGACAGTTTGGGCTAGTCAACCACGAGTGTGAGAGGGAGAAAGGAATTCGGCTAGGGGGAGAGAGAGAGAGAGAGAGTGTGTGTGTGTGTGTGTGTGTGTGTAATCTCTAGGGTTTTCCCAAGTTAGGAAGAAGTTTAGATTTACATTTTTTGTCTTCTCCTCTTGTTTAAATAGCCTTCCATCTTTGTAACTTCTTCTTTTCCATTTAAGGAGGGAATAATCCTCCTTAAAGAGAATTATTCATTTCTTGAATAATTTGATTGAGGGAATTTATAGAATTTTTTTCCTTCAATTTAAATAGGTAACTTCTCTATTAAATTTATAGTGTTGCTAAATGAATCTTAAAATTAATTAAGTACACCCTATGATCTAAGTACACCATAATATTTTAATTAAAATGTAATATTAACTAAGTACACCATGTGTAACTTCCAAAAATACCCCTGATACACTAGCACACAAAGTAAAGAAAAAAAGATTAAAGTCTTTGGAAAGAAAAAAAGAGAAACATATCCCACCAATAGTCGGCTCCTCCAGCAACCGCAAAGTGAAAGAAACCAAACGCCAACATGTTTCATTTAGCTAATAGCTTGTATACCTCAAACGCTAAAGTCCTACGTGCATAAAAACCACAGGGCAAAACCATAAATTTTTCGACAAGTGAGCTAGCTAAATTTTTTGGCTAAAACAAAAGTATGCATTAAATCAAATAAACCATGCAATTCATAGCTACATTGACTAATTTCCAATAAGATTTAACATAAAACAAATACATATTTAATGCAATAAAAAAATACAAATTATCAAAATGAATTTATATTTAACAACATAACTGAAAATACATATTTCAATACATCACCTCAGTTGCAACCACAACCACGTCTCAAGAAAATCATCTTCTCGTTTCTTATACAACAACATCAGTATCCTT